TGAAGCCATAAAAACGGCCAAAAATCGTAGAGGGGTCAAAATGACCCCTCCGGTCCTTCTAGGTATACCAAAATCCCGGTCCTTCTAGTGTTAAACATTCATTTACTACTACGGGTCCGTTTATGGTTAACAAGAATTGTTAAGGTTTTCTTTTTTTGAAATATCGTACGCTACGGGAAATCTTGTGGTTTGACGTGGGCATCGACAGCGAAGTGCCCGTTTCACCATGTAAGTATGACTGTACTGGAGTAGCAACTAAGTACGTTGAAATGTGCGCCGCGGTGGCTGGCGAAGCTATCTCCTCTGAAGCCAATGTGCTTGGAAATCTCACCCACTCAATTTTTGAAAGCCTGTGGTCTACTGCAACTAATGATGCCCGTGTTTTGAGTGTAGCATAATTCAAACCGGAGCTACGACGCCTGGAACGCCGCAGACCCGTTTTTGCCATCTGCCACCCGTGAATGTAGAAAGAGACAGACAGAGTGAGGGTCATGTTCCTTCGAAAGGGGCCTCTGAATTATAAGTTTTTACCTCAAATCCTTCTTTTTTTACACAACAGTGAAGCCCCTGAACGTCGCAGTCTCAAACTGTTATTATTTCATGGACATTCATGACCCTCACTCTGTCTGTCTCTTTCTACATTCACGGGTGGCAGATGGCAGAAAACGGGTCTGCGGCGTTCCAGGCGTCATAGCTCCGGTTTGAATTATGCTACACTCAAAACACGGGCATCATTAGTTGCAGTAGACCATAGGCTTTCAAAAGTTCGCCAGCCAGCGCGGCGCACATTTCAACGTACTTAGTTGCTACTCCAGTACAGTCATACTTACATGGTTTCACTTTCGCACCCCCTGGAGGGCTGTACTACCCATAACTGTCCAACCCTCAACTGAAATTTCCCCATTTTTCACACTAAGGTGGCCTGGAAAAGACTGGAAACTTCAGTTGAGAATGTGTAGGACGCACTGAGAAAGTCCCCGGTGGAAAACGCGAAAACTTTTTCATTACGTTTTGTAAAACTTCATTAAAAGTAATGAAATTCCACAATACGTAATGGAAAAGTTATTAAATATAATTTCGAAACTCTAATGAAAATAGCTTCACAACATGTAATGTAAAAGTGATGAAATATTTTTAACAGTGTATGGGTGACCACCCCTGTGACACTTACGCCCTTCAGGGGATTGGGGGGGGGGTGGCAAATCTGCTTTACAGCAGCGTAGGGGGTCATGAAATGCACCTGTGATCAAAATTGGAACGCGGTAGGACTTTTCGTTTTCGCGCAGCAGCCAAAAATGTGTGAATTTGCTCAAAACCATCCCCCAAGTTTACGCCCCTGTAGCGACAAAGCAGGGTGGAATCCGACGGTCGCCACCACGGTCACAGAAGGGCATAGCCTTCATCTTTTCGGGTACACTGTTTGAAAAAAGCACAGGAGTTGAACAGTACTTTATTGGTCAACTTGTTTCACGGTCTTCCTGCACTTGCTAAGTACGGTGTTTTGAGTACAGAGTACAGGAATTTTTAACATGGAGCCTTATGGGCACTACAGTAATAAAGTACGGGTGTCCTGTACCTTATCCCGTCCCGTACAGAATCCTGTACTTTTTCTGTACTTTGGTACAGGATTTTTAACAGTGTACCGAGAGCCATGCCGCTGGCAGCACTCATTCAGGCCGCCGGGCCTGTTAAAAGAAGGTACTGCCTTGCACCGCGCCCCGGCCAGTAGTGGCTGACGAGCACGCACACGGACTTGTCAAACTGGTTTCTCATCCGAAATTCCTTGACTTTTGTGCAAATTTAATGGTTTATTGACGAGTCTAACAATCCCCTCGTCAAAATTTGAGATACACTGGAAAAACTAATGTTACCATGGTAACGTTTCATCATGTGACCAAGACCGGTAACGTTTCCTGCAGGGCTGCCAGCGACTCACTTTTCTCACTTTTTCTCACTTTTTTGAAAAAAACTCACTTTTACTCACTTTTCTGGTAAAAACTCACTATTCTCACTATTTTGGTCTTCGAGGGCACCTATTCCGCCAAAATATGCCCCAATGAAGCATAAAAGTGAACCCTTGTTGCACTTTGGCGTTAGTGAAGGCATATATCAGCATCCTAACGGGATATTTTCGTACCCTATGGTTCAAAAAATTTTCTGCTCGCTTCGCTCGCATATATTTTGCTCGTGTAACCAATGCAAATCACGCCTTAATGCACACTGTAGCGCCCTTCGTTCAATT